TGTCCTGAGCAACTAATTTTACTTCCCAGGACCTGCTTGTTTTTTGACTCCCACTTTCCCCGACCTCTCTCTACTGGTGAAACCCCCCCTTCGGAGTGACAATTTCACGCTCCAGGGATGCAGACAACGTCTTTACCCCCTCACGAGACAAGTGTACTCCGTCGCGACTGTACAGGTAGTCGTTGCCATAGAATCGTTGCCAGCTATCAATGAATGCCCAACCATTGTTTGCACAATGTTTTTCCAGTCGGCAATTTATAGCAATTGCCCTGGACAGCCATTCAAGACCAACCCCTCTTCTAGGCAAGACACCACATACTATCGGGATCCCTCCCCTATCTCTTATCTTCCCCAGCGCCTCCCTATACCTCTTGAAAAGTTCCTCACTCCTAACCTTTCCTATGTCGTTTCCTCCCACACTAATAATAATAATAATAATAATAATAATTAACGGTTTATTGAAAGAGCTTGGCAGCCAGAAGGCTGAAAATATACAGTTACATATTTGGGGAATGGGTTTCGAATTACAAGTAACATAAGTGATCAGTGGCGGCTCGTGAAAAATAAAATGGAGGGACTGCAAGCCTCACACAACAGTAGGATACACAAATTTGACCTACCTCAGGTATGAGTTGTAGTTGATGTCCACGAATTCCCAGGGCATGGTAGTAGTGTTGGTGGTAGAAGGGATGGCCGAGGTGGTGATGGACCAGTATTAATTGAGTCGGCGTGTCTGCTCTTCGATGTAGCAAAATTTTTTATTACTATTTCATTAAAATCCTTTATTTCTGTTATCATTTTATTTTCAATGGATATCACTGCTAAAGCAGACAGTCTGTCATTCACCATGGTACTGCGCAAAAAAGTTTTAATTCTCTTCAAAGTTGAAAAGCACCTTTCTGCTTCTGCCGTTGTCATTGGAGTTGTTATTAAAATTTTCAGCAACTTGACAGTGTCTGAAAATGTTGACTGTAGATTATTGTCATTCATCATCTCCAACAAGTCTATGAGACTTTCTGATTTACACAAATCTTCTCTTGTGTACAGTACAGTAAGTTTTCTCAATTTGTCTTTTTCAAGCATGGGATATGCTGCAACTGCTTGTTCAAGTTCATTACTAGGGAAATTTTTGGTATACACTGGAAAATTATTCACTAAAAGTAACTTGCTTGCTTCCAAATGATTAGTAAAGCTGAATCTCTCTCTGCACTGCAGCAAAATTACGTCACAGACCTCCTTTGCAGCAGCTAATTTGTCTGTTTTAAATTTTCTTCTTTTCTGCTCAGGAGGCAACAGCAACACCACGATTTAACCACACGCAATGTAAACACGTTGTACGAGACTGAGCTGCTTCAAGCAGGGTTGCCAACTCGGATTTTCAAATGTCGCTAGGCTGGTACCTAAAAGTAGCTAAATGTCGCTAAATCTTCCATGGAAAGTCGCTAGCTATTATTCCCCCCCTTCAGTAATTTGATGCAAATAATATTTTCATAATGACGACTATAATGGACGGAGTATAAATAAAATGCATTATGTAAAAATAAAAATATTATCTGTATTTTGTTTAAAGTTTAATGTGCACACTTACCTATTATTCAATAGTAATTGCATCCCAGTCCTCTTCGTAGTGTGAACAACTGTAGAGCTGGAAGCATGTGAAGTGCTTGGTTCAGGTTCTCTTGTAACTGTATGCCTCCACAGTCCCTATCTTTCTTAAAATATCACTAGGAAGTTCATAACTTGCACAACAGGTGTTCTGTCTTTTTAACCCATACTTTATTGTAAGAATTGCCTTTAATGTCGATAGTTTCATTTTGTTGCGCAATTTTGATTTCACAAAGTTCATATTACTAAATGTGCGCTCTACATCTGCGTTTGAATGCGGAAGAGATAAGGCAGCGAGTGCAATTTCAGCCAGATTATGGTAAGGGTTTTCTCCTGTCGCATCTCTGTAATTTGCCACTTCTGACCACAATTTTAGGGTGTTAGATGCATGGACGGGCTGACATCAAGTGATCAGAAATAGACGTGTCCCTCCTTCTGTACCACGACCCGTTCAAATGTATTAAACTTTTCTTATTATTTATTGTCCCTGTAACCCCGTTGCTATATATTATGGCTCGAAATTAGGAAAACTGAGTTTTCATGGACAGTCCAAAAGTATCCAGAAAGTCGCTAGATTTCTGTGGATATCTCTAGATTTGCGACAAGTCGCAAATCGCTCTAAAATGTCGCTAGAAAAAAACAAAAAGCTCTAGATCTAGCTACAAAGTCGCTAAGTTGGCAACTCTGGCTTCAAGTGCAGCTCATTGTGCGGCGGCGGCGCCAATTAATAACAGACATGAATCGTACAGCATTGACAGCAACTATGAAAGTAACTTAAATTTTGGTCTGATTTTAATGAAAATTCACTTAGCAACGTATTGAAAATAATTAAATAACATATAAAATGATATATTTGTTGGTAGTGTATTATTCAGCTGTCTCTCTAAAGGAATCATACGCCTGGCAGTGAGTGTCTGGGGGGACTGCACGAGCCGCCACTGTAAGTGATACAAATAAGATATATAATAACTAGATGGGGAAAAGCTCAAACTACAGTGCATTTCAACATAGGTTGTTGTGGTTGGTGTTTGTGGTGGTGGTAGTGGTTGGTGTTGGTGGTGTTGGTGTTGGTTGATGGTTGTGGTGGTGTTGGTGTTAGGTTTGTGATGGTGGTGTTGTTGGTTGGTGTTTGTGGTGGTGTGGGTTGTTGTGGTGTTGGGTGGGGTTTGTGATGGTGGTAATGTTGGTTGGTGTTTGTGGTGGTGTTGGTGTTAGGTTTGTGATGGTGGTGTTGTTGGTTGGTGTTTGTGGTTGGTGGTGTTGGTGTTGGTTGGTGTTTGTGGTTGGTGGTGTTGGTGTTGGTTGGTGTTTGTGGTTGGTGGTGTTGGTGTTGGTTGGTGTTTGTGGTTGTGGTTGTTGGTGATTGTGTTGGTTGGTGTTTGTGGTCGTTGGTGATTGTGTTGGTTGGTTAATGTTGGGGTGTTGGTTAGTGGTTTTGGTTGTTGTAGTTATTGGTTGTTGGTGGTTGTAGTTGTTCGTGGTGGTTGTTGATATAGGCCTATATATAAGGTGCTTCAAATGGCCAGCAAGATTTTTTAAGCACAGTTCAGTTCAGCATTCACTACTACTACTACTACTACTACTACTACTACTACTACTACTACTACTACTACTACTACTACTACTACTACTACACCTGTCTGACGATATAAAAGAACAAAGAACAATACTCTTCAAGAAACATAATTTAGTATAATTTAGGTTTTCATTTAAGTTTGGTGTAAATATTCCTCGACTGGCAACCAGTTATAAATATTTAAGTAACGAAATATAAATTAAATAAAGTAATCAGCTTATAAGATAAAATAAAGGTAAATACAGTACACGAAACAAAATAAATATGAAAAAATTAAATATAAATGGATAAAACCGAGATATAAAAATTACATTAAATTAATAAATACTGTACTGTACTGTAATGCTAATAAGAACCATAATAGTAATACAGTAATATTTCAGTTTCAGAATTATCTCCATAGATATGATGCAAACATTATATATAATGATACACACCAAACAGATCAGTGTGGTTTCATTTCATAATTACAGTTAACAATGACCCCTAGTGGGTTCTGAAAAGTAATTAATGTCAACATCCACCACTCCATTTCAGCCGTTGTTCCAATTCGTGCATCATCATGGGTAAGCCCGGGCACCTACGACGAAGACCTACAGTAGCCAAGAGGCATTCCACTTGATCTGTTTCACAATAAAGTATCTGCCCAAATTTCCGCCTCATGTGGGTCAAGGGAGACGATTATAGTGTTTTCGTTGACGCGTTCACAGTTTTCCCCGAGGGCGTCTGCCATACCAGGAAATAGACCATAAAAGGTAGGTTGAAGCAGCCCTAGCGGCAGGCACGTCCCGAGGGGTGAATACCTCTCACTAGAATGCCTGACGCATCTCGCACCTCTTCAAATTCGTTGAACCTAGTGCGTAATTTTTATACGAAGGGCTGCAACTTTTTGTCTTGGATTTTTCCATCTTCTAGTCATATCCAGACCATGTTTGTAACGCCAGGGGTCCAAGAACGCTGTATGGGAATCCAAAGGAAACGGTTACCTCATAATCATGTGGTTCCCGCGCAAGTCTATCCAAAGAAAACGGGTAAACATCAAAGGTAAACTTGCGTAAATATATTTTCGGTTCTGTGCGAGGAACTTATATTTATTTTTACATGGGATGGTACTTCCTGAAATAAGTAAGAGTCTTTTAGAATGCTATTTTAGCCGTTTGTTTATAACTAAGTTAATGATTAATGATAACCGAATCCAATATAATTTCAATACAAAATCGTTGTGCATTTTCAGTTTTAGTAGAACATTATCATATATGGTCAAGATTCACGTTCAACACTGTCCTAAAACGAGATGTAGCTTTCCAAGTTTATCTTGTTAAATGCGTAATCAAAATCCACGAACATTCCCGCCTGGCTGGCGCATTTGGCAACACAGGCAGAAGGGGGAAAACCAAGGGGCGGGTGCCGAGTATCGCCAGACGAAAGATTTAATGAGTTGTACGCATTCTCTTGTAACCTTGGCTAGTGGGGAAAGTTGGGAATTTTGTCAATTTTCTTGTGTAATCTTCATGAGTGAGATACCTGTTGTTAAATATTGATTTTTCCACCATTAAGTAATAATGTTTCGTTGTCTAGATTTATTGTATTTTTAGGAAATGATATGTAACGAATGTCAGAGAAGAAAAACAAAAACATTGTTTCACTTGTAAATTTATGCAAGAAATCACTTTTGTATCTGGTTGGTAATTTGTTTTCTAAATTGGATAATACTGTAGTTTTGAGGAGACGGAGCGAATGCAATGTCTCGAAACGTCGGGTTGGCCTTCCCACGTGGCAGCGTGTGGCAACCACAGAGTCGGTGTGGTGGAGCCATTCACTCCACCATCACACTCGCTCAGTCCACTGTATAGTGAACGGACGTCGGCAGTGTGTTGCGGTGCGTGATTGTGGAATGGTGCCAGTCTGGTCAAGTGGTTTTAGTGACTGACGGGGTGGCCATGATGGTGCGTTAGTAAGAAAGTATTGTGTTGGCCTTATACCCTAGATCAGTGGTGGTCGTGAGGCTGGCTGCTGCCCAGGCCAGGTATTGATCTCGTGTTTGTTAAGTTTGTTTACATCTGGACTCTATGCTAAGATGTGGCCTAATAGAAGTGCCCAGGGTCAGGGCGGCGTAGAGAAGGCGTCAGCCGGTGTGGCTAGCCATCAGGAGGGCGCTAGGCCCAAGATCCTCAACTCCCCTACTGCTGACAACAAGTCCGGTGTCGTGTACGACTCTCACAACGACTCTGGCTTCCTCTCGGGGTCTAACCTTGTTTCGTCGTCGAGTCTGAGCTGTGACGACACCTCGTGCAGTATGCGCTCAGAGAACCTCCTGTCAGGGGAGGTGTCCCTAACCCACCCCAGCCTCTCTGATCCCAAGAACGTCTCCCAGGTCAGACAAGACTCAGGCATCGATATCTCAGATCAGCTGAGTTCGCTCCACCTGGCCTCGCCTACCACGTCGTCCTCGAGCGCGGCCTCGGAGGCGTGTGAGGCCGAGACCTCTCCGACACGAAAACCTGCGACCCCTCCCCCGCGGAGGTCACGACTCAGCCTCAGCGAAGCTCAAGTTGGTCTTCTACAGGAGATCTTCCAGACAGATGAAGATGGCGACACGTAAGGCACTGCTTCTTGTTGACGTTATGTTATCCAGTTAGGTAAATTGAGGGTCACGGAACTGAAGGTCGCCAAAAATTATGAAAAGTCATGTTGTAACACTAGGTCAACCAAAATTTGGTTTAAAGGTCATGCTGTGAGGAGCCTTTAAGTGTTCCTCAGATTTGTATTAAAGGTCATATCAGGAAAGGGGGGGGGGGGGTACGACCTAAACATTACACTTAGTCCATGGCTCAACACCACGTCATTACAATTGAAAATTTGTTACATTTGAAGTAGACCATATCAAAACACCAGGCAACGTAGTATGGTCAAACCTTATAGAGAAAAATACATATAATAATAAAAAAGAGATAAGGGGTTAATTCAGAACTACATTGTTAACATGACAGAAATCTTAGGCATTCCGCCAGAGAAGGAGCAGGGTGGCGGGCGGAGGGAGTGGAAATTAATACATATAATATATTTCAAGGATTTAAATCACTTCTTTTTAAGTATATTTTCCGTACCTTGTTCTCGATCAGACCATAAATCTTTGTTTTTATTGCTGATCTTATATAACAGACTCCAGTTTCTCGAAGCTTTTGACATTATTATTATTATTGTCATCATCATTAATGTTTCTGCCTTTGTTAATGCGCACTGTGTGTGGGTGTATGTGTAATTGATTTCCGTGTACATAATGGACCACAACTATAAATGAGTAATTAGCTGTCAAATAGGTTTTAGCAGATCACAAACTAGAGGAAGTCGGCCTCCTGCAGTATCCCACTTTCTTATGTTCTTATGTTCCTACACGACTTATATCATCCCACAGACACATACAACGTATTGTCTTAGTGGTAATAGATCACTCGCATATAGTAAAGGAATTTTATACGGGTCGTATACTATCCATGTCCTCCTGTAGGCACTGAGGACCCACATATAATAACCACCATAGAGTCTGGTGTACATATATTATTATACAGTTAGTTATATAGCTTGTGTTTAGTCAGGGATGGGTGGTTGTGGTGGGTGGTAGGAATAGTGGTTGTAGCAGTTTGTGGTGCAGTAGTCGTTTGTGGCAGTATGACGTAGAAATAGTAGTAGTGATAATGGTAGTAGTATGATGTAGTAGTAGTACTGGTGTGATGTATTAATAGTGGTAGTATGATGTAGTAGTAGTATGATTAGTAGTTGTAGTAGTGATAGAGGTAGTAGCGGTACTCTGGTCTGTTTACCGTGTGATCGATCCCCTTCACGCGTCCAGGTAATTCCCAGGAAGAGCAAAGGAATGTTGGGTGTGTGTGTGTGTGTCAGGGTGTGTACATGTGTGTGGGTATTGTTGTAACTAAGTATTTCTGTGTGTGTGTGTGTGTGTCAGGGTGTGTACATGTGTGTGGGTATTGTTGTAACTACGTATTTCTGTGTGTGCGTGTGTGTGTGTCAGGGTGTGTACATGTGTGTGGGTATTGTTGTAACTACGTATTTCTGTGTGTGTGTGTGTGTGTGTGTGTCAGGGTGTGTACATGTGTGTGGGTATTGTTGTAACTACGTATTTCTGTGTGTGTGTGTGTGTGCACACACACATTTTACCCTCTACTTCATTGTTCTTACGGAGTTGACCTGTGATACACAAACCGCCCCTCAAGACACCGCCCGATTTTTTATGTAGTTTAAAGGCGGAAGCTAATCGGCCAGCCAAATGTCGTCACGTTATTTCTTGTGAAGGCCGAGAATTGATCGATTCTCAATAAACCTAACCTAACCTAACCTACAGTAACCTAACCAAACTTTGAGACAACATAACTAGATACATCCATAGTACAACAATAAACCAGTGTATATAACTAATTGATATCCAGAACGTTTCAACATTTCAGTCTTTCCACCAAAGGCTGGAAATATCCAAGGTGGGATTTCGGGGTTTTCTCTAATTAACCAACGTCTGTGGTAAATCCCTTGAGTGGGTAAAGTTGCTTACATTTAGGGGTACTAGAGTTGTAATGGGGGTTAATAGGGTGTAATTGGACTAATGGGTTGATATGTAACTCGTCTGTAATGGGGGTTTCCGATTGTAACTGGTGTGTAATGGGGTAGTTCAAGTTGTAATTGGTTTATAATGAGGTATTTACAGTTGTAATTGATATGAAATAGGGGGTTTCAGCTGTAATGGGTATGTAATAGGGGGTTAATGGGCTGGAAAATATCAGCCAAGATGAATTTTATTTTAATTTATCCCGTCAGGAAGGTGTTGGTCTGTCAGCTATCGGGAGGCAAGTCCGGTGAAGTCCGATAACCACGCTTTCATCATGTGGCGGTCCGATAACACTACTAGAGTTCCGATGACACTACTAGGGGCCCGATATTAGTACGAAGCGACCCGGTAACACCACCAAGGGACCGATAACATCTCCACTTCATACTTGGCGCCCGATAATTCAACTACCCAAGCCGATAACAATTTGATATCACACTTATCACTCAACAAGCAAGCCGATAACACCTTGGGGGAATTACTCTGTGTTAAAGGCGAGGAAGCCGATAAGATTACCATTACTTGCAGAGGAAAGATATTTCACAATACCATTACCATTACGAATGTAGAAAGCAGATATCACTTTCACCATTACAACGTAACTGAAACCGATAACACTGCACACAATTAATCAGGGAACCCGATAACTGACATATCTTGAGGGCGCACAGACACGATACCACACCCGATTAATGGATATCACGACCCGATATCATGAGGATGGCGGTATCGGGTCGTTGCTCGTCCTCGACTCGGGGGGCCTCCCAGGATGCGCCGATGTCCTTCCCGGATGCGAGAGAGGATGCGGATGTGGCCAGGAGTGATGTGAGGGAGGTGGGTGTTATGTCAGGATGGTGTAGGATGCCAGGGTAAGGTTATGGGATGTCAGGGTAAGGTTATGGGATGTCAGGATGGTGATGTATACAGTAAAATTATCATTATTGACGTCTTAGGGATGTTAGGTCATTATGCTCACCTTTGCCTCATCTGACCTAACGAGTCGTAACATCCAGATGTAAGCTACTCTAACCTCACCTAACTTGCTAACGCGACAAAATCAAACTTAAAAGTGATATCTATATGACCCTTTAAGTAAATTACCTACATTACAAGACTTTTCCTAAGACATGTGTTAATTTCGTCTCGTAATTGATAGTCCCCTTAAGGTAGAATCTCCTTAATTTTCACCTTATGTTTTGTGTGTTTTATATAAGTTAACCAGTTGGGTAGGTTGTTACGTCATCAATCACGAGGGATATTTGTCGTATGGGTGTTTATGAAACCCGGGGTGGGTGTGTGTCGGTGACCACACTGTTGAGGTGACTGATGAAACACTTGGATTACCCCAGTGGTCAGGGGGGTAGGGAGGGAGAGAGGGAGGGCTTTGGTGTTTAAAGGGAGGGAGGAAGTGCACGGGTATTTGAAGAGTGGGGGGGTTATGAAGACAGCGACAGGTGAAAGACCAGATGGTATACAGGAGAGGTATGACGATGACATCACCCCTCCCTCACACACACACACACGACCGCGTGACTGTACTCGTAAAGTCTGTTGTGAAGTGTATGACACATTAGTGATGAAACACAAGCTTCCCATCCTCTCGCCCCCCCCCCCTCCCTCTATCCCTTTCCCCATCTCCTTTCCTTCTCCTTCCTCTTTCTCGCCCTCCCTTACCTCTCCTTCTTTCTCGTCTCCTCCTCCTCAAATATGCTCTTCCATTTACCTCACCCTCCCTCTCTTTCCCTTCCCTACTCCCTCATGCTCCCACCCTCCCCTCCCACCCTCCCCTCCCATCACCACCAGCCAGCATCATCTTGTGGGTTGGTCTTGTTACCAACCACTGTGTTCCTGTTGCTAAACCGCGCCCGGCCCCTGTTGCTACACTACACCCGGCTCCTGTTGCAGCATACTGCTTCTGTTGCCCTGCAATCATTCTGTTGCTATACCTCGCTCGGTCTCCTTTGTTATGTGTGCTATACGTGCTATATATATTGTATACTTTGCGATCCCCGGATATATTTTTAAATTATAGTGAAGGTAATGCAGAATAAAAACAATTATAAGAGTGAATCATGTGACATGTTGGAGCGGAAGAGGAGTCGACTTGTGAAAGAGACTTAGGGGTACTGGTAAGCCCGGACCTACGACCTAGAAAACAGTGCGTTAATGTTCGAAATAAATCAAACAGAGTATTAGGTTTTATATCTAGAAGTGTAAGTAATATGAGTGCAGAGGTCATATTGCAACTATATCTTGCGCTAGTCAAGCCGCACCTCGATTATGCTGTTCAGTTCTGGTGCCCTTATTGTAGAATGGATATCAATTCACTGGAGTCGGTGCAGCGAAGAATAGCGAAAATGATTCCGGGACTTAGAAACCTTCCATATCAAGATAGACTAAGGAAACTAAACTTGCATTCCCTAGAAAGACGAAGAGTGCGGGGAGATATGATAGAAGTATTTAAGTGGGTAAAGGAATCGATAAAGGAGATATAGATAAAGTTCTCATAATATCCGAGCAGGATAGGACTCGGAGCAACGGATTTAAGTTAGATAAGTTTAGGTTTAGGAGGGAGATAGGAAGGAACTGGTTCACAAATATGGTGGTGGACGAGTGGAACAAGCTTAGCAACTTTGTAGTAAGTGCTGGAACGCTGGAAAGTTTTAAAAAGAGGCTAGATAGATTCATGGATGATAGAGAGTGGTAGTAACTCTCGATAGGAGCTGCCAAGCACAGGCCAATCGGCCTATTGCAGACTCCTTATTTTCCTATGTTCTTATGTGTGAGAGTGAAGTCACGTGTGTATCAGGACCACCAGGGAATTCCACGAGTAATTATTGATTACCTGAGTCTGGCCCAGCTGTGTGTGGGACCAAAACCACCAGGAGCCGCCGAGGAGGAGGAGGAGGAGGAGGCATATGAAGGAATAAAGGATGATGAAACGTGAAGAAGAAAGAGGAGGAATACAACGATGATTAGG